CAAAGCACATTCACATCGATGGCTGACTCTATTTCCCTCCAACTGGGAGACAGGTGGTAACATTAGCCCAGTCTAGAGATGAGGAAAGTGATGCTCAGGGGAGGGGAGTCACTTGCTTGATGTCGCACAGCTGGGCAGGAGGCAGAGCAGGGGTTTGATCCCATGTCCTTTGTCTCCTAGATGTGTGCTCAATCACTAAGTCGTGTCTGACTCTGCGGCCCCATGGACTGTAGCCCACCAGGCTCCTCTGTCCAGGGGATCTCCCAGGCAGGAATACTGGAGTGGATTGCCTTTTCCTTCTCCATGGAATGTTCCTGACCCAGGGATCAAATCCGCATCTTCTGCATTGGCAGGCAGGTTCTTTACCACTGAGCCACCTGGAGAAGGAATTTAGTCTCCGAAGGCAAGTCTTTCATCTGCTTCCTCAGGTACAGGAAGAACAGTTTCTTCCTCTGAGATGGTCTCTTAGCAGGAAAGGGGAAGCTCACAGCGGTGCACACAGCCCCTACCCCACATGGGTCAGTTCTGCAGCCCAGCCCCGCCACCCATCAGCTGCACATCCTGGAGCAGGTTTCTTGCTCTTTGTGTCTCAGTTTTCTCCCCTGGAAATCTCTAAAGTAGTATCTACCTCTGAGAGTGGTTCCAACCATTAAATGAGTCAATATTGGTAAAGTGCTTAGCATAGAGCTTGCTACTTAGTAAATGCTATATAAATATTTGTTAAAATTCAGCAAAATTTACCTAGGTATAAATGAGAAGGGGAAAGTATTTGCCAAATCTGTTGTTGCCCCAAATTTTCTGTTTCTAATTCAGTTGAACTCCAAGTTTATTTGTTGTGATTAATATTACTATCAATAGCTAAGTGAGAAGTCCATCTTTCCTACCTATAGCAATTAGGTAGGAATGTGCATGCTCGATGGCTCAGTCCCGTCCGACTCTGCAACCCCATGGACTGTAGCCCACCAGGCTCCTCTGTCCACGGGACTTCCTAGGCAAGAATACTGGAGAGGGTTGCCATTTCCTTCTCCAGGGGATCTGCCTGACCCAGGGTTCAAACCAATGCCTCCCTCATCTCCCACATCCCAGGCGGATTCTTTGCCACTGAGCCACCGAGGGAGCCCTAGGTAAGAACGGAGTTCCTCTATAACTCTGTGTGTAAATACTATTTACCCGTTTTACAGAGGAGGACTCCTGAGCTCACTGAGGTGACATGACTTGTTCAAGGTCACACAACTGGTAAGAGGCAAAGCCAGGATTCAAATCCAGCACACAGACCTCTGCCTCCCATCTCACTGGTGATGCCCAAGCTCCTGCTAACAGAGACAGGCTCCAGGAGGCCTGGACTTGGGGCGAGAAGGTCGCTGCCAAGCGGCTGCTGTGGACACAGTGTGACAGTCCATGCAGACTGGCCTCTACTCTTGCCCCCCAGAGGAGAACTTTGGCCTTCATGTACCCCACAAAAAACAGGCCCTGCCTCCTTAAAGAAGAGCACTAGGCCCCCTCTATTCTGGCAAGAAGGAGCCAAAGTGGCTCCATGTCAAATACAACTTCAGGATTAAAATTGCAGACCACTCTTCGGAAGGTACCAGAAGATCTAACATGGCTTGCTGTCTATTTCCCAATTTGTTTCTTACAGAAATTTCAGGAAGGCTATATTTTTCACCCTAAGTGGATTGTGCCCAAAGCCAAAAATATCATACCACATCCAGTAGAGAGAAGGGACTCTGCAGGTAAGGTAAAGCAGGCCCATGAGTCTCCCACTTGGATTAGGAGACTTGGGTTCAAGAGCTGGCTCAGCCACTATCTTGCTGTGTAACCTCAGAAAATCCTTTCCTTCCCTGTGCTACATGAGCAGTGTTGTCCAATATCTCAGTTGTGTCCCACTCTGTGATCCCACGCACTGCAGCACACCATGGTTCCCCATCCTTCCCTGTCTCCCAGTTTGCTCAAACTCACGTCCATTGTGTCAGTGATGCCATCCAACCATCACTGAGCAGTGGGGCAGTGGCCAAAGGCTGCATCCAGTCTGAGGATGACTTTTTGTTGTTGGCGTGGGGACAGTTTTAAAAATTAGCAAACTTAGGGCTTCCCTGGTGGTCCAGTGATTGAGAATCCGTCTCATGATGCCGGGGACACGGGTTCAATCCGTAGTCCGGGAAGATCTCACCTGCCGCCGGCAACTCAGCCGTGCACGACCACTACAGAGCGGAGCTTCAGAGCGCATGCTCCGGAACAAGAGACGTCACCGCCCAGAGAAGCCCGCCGACCACAACTAGAGACTAGCCCACGCTCGCCGCAACTAGGGAACACCCGCAGGCGGCAGAGAAGACCCAGCACAGCCAAAAGATAAATAAATATATTTTTTAATTAGGAAACTTACATATAAAAGTTCAGGTTTCTAGATTTTCTTTAAAATGGGAATACCTGGCTCCTAGATCTCAGCCTCCCACAAGGAGACCTACGTTTCCTTAGAGACACCACGGTACCCAGCGCTCCTCTCTGTTTCCCCCCTCCCCCTGACCTTCACGCAGCCTGGCACCGGTCTTGCCCTGGGGACATTTGAGTTTGCCATCCATGGGGTCAGCATCCTCTCTGCACCCTGTAAGCACTAACATTTACTGGCTTCAAGGGCGTTCCCCCACCTTAGCTGTCATTATTCTGAGGCCCCATGGAACAGGGACCTCACCTCATCACCCTGGTTACCCCAAGACCCAGAACATGGCAGGTGCGTCCCAATTTTTTTGATGACTTCTGAGACAGAGGTGACTGTGGAACGAGTCCTGCATGAGCCAGGGGCCTGGCCTTGAGCTCTGCCCTGCCACAGAGGGACATCTGACTCAGAAGAGCCCCTATCCATCTCCTGGGCTTCTCTTTCCACCTCCTAAGAGGGTGGGCCAGCTCTGCCAGGCACCTTGTAGGTGGCTCAGGTGACAAGGTCCTCCAAAGGTCTGGACACTGAAGTCCTGGCTTGGTGCCCCCAATGCCACCAGGCACTTGTGCTGTGACAGTCCAGTGGACCTGCGGCTGCCTCTGCTCCCCTGACCGGCCCTCCTGTGCACCCCCTCCCCGTGATGGCTGGCCCGAGGGGCTCAGCACGGCCCTGGAGCCTGGCCTTGCTGGGGGCTGTGGGCTCCTGGAGAAATAAGGGCACCCCAGTGCAGGGAACAATGTCTTTGTATGACTATTGACTGGGTTCCCAGAGACTCTGGATAAGTCAGGGCCCCTCTGCAATGAAGATGATAAAAGACAAGGATGCGCAGAGGCAGGGTAGGACCCATGACCCCAGGCTGTATGGTACCGGCCCTTACTGACTCAGGAGATCTTCCACCAGCGGGTACTTATTACGTTAGCGCTCTCAGTTACACAGTCTGTTGTTTAGTTGCTCAGTCGTGTCTGACTCTTTGCGACCCCATGGACTGTAGCCGCCAGGCTCCTCTGTCCATGGGATTTCCCAGGCAAGAATACTGGAGTGGGTTGCCATGCCCTCCTCTAGAGCATCTTCCTGACCCAGGGATCAGACGCCCTGCATCTGCATCTCCTGCATCGGCAGGTGGGTTCTTTACCACTGAGCTACCAGGGAAGCCCCATATATTCTGTTACCTGCAGGCAAAATGCTCCTTGGTGCTCAAGGCAAATGAGGCCGTGTGGCTGAATTATGGCCAACTCCCTGGTGCCTTGTGGTGGTGGCTACATGTGAGACCCTGGTTTCCACGGTTTTAGTGTCTGCTACAGCACCATATCCCAAGGTGACCTCACTGGGCTCCCACCCAACTTAGCCTGGGAACATCACCAGCCGCCGCACCCTGCCCCACTCTCCTCTCAAGAAGTGCCCTTTCAATGGCCTCTCACAGATGCACAAAGCCAGTGCCCAACCCCAACCAACAGAACAAGCTCCCTAATGTGAAATAGAGCCCAGGGCTCTGTTTCTCTCTGTGGCCTGGAGGAAACATATCTTTAGTCAGTGACATTAAAAAAAGACAGAGCACATCCCTTTGGGAGCCTCCAGTCATGGGTTTTGAAGGCTGAGAGAGTCAAGCCCACGCCACTTGGTCATCGTCCTGCCTCCAGAGGGCTGGCCTGTCCCCTCCAAGGAAGAGAAGCACATGACTGCTTACACACTGCGACCCCATGTCTGGCCAGCCTGACCATCCAGAAGGAGTCTTCCCCTCAAGTGCCTCCCCTGTGAGGCCCCACGGCACCACGGGAATCCCCTGAATCCACAGGAATCCCCTGAATCCACGGGAATCCCCTGAATCCACGGGAGCGTGCCATGCCTCAAGTGTGCAGCTCTGGCCTCTGCCAACAAATTGCTCCACTCTTTCTCGGACCATTTCAGAGCACCGTCTTGAGGGGCAGCTCTGCCGGGGCAGCCCCATCACAGGGGCAGCCAGGGCTCCGAGGTCTGAGCTGGGTGTCAGGGAGACACAGCGGCATGTTACTCAACTCAAGGCTGTCGCAGAGGAAAGAGACGACCCCTTCAGCGTGGTTTCAGGGACCCTTGGGTGGAAACTGGAGGGGGCCAGGCCCTGTGCGACAGAGAACAGGGCCTTCCAACACCCACAGGATCACCAGGCGGGTGTCCATCCACAGTGTCCATCCAGCCAGTGTCCATCTCACTGGCTCTCCTCTGTGGGAGGCACTGGGGGGTGATGAGAGCTGTGAGGGCTTGCAGAGCAGCCGCGACTCAACTCACAGTTGCCTGAGCTTCTAACTTTTCAAGAGAAGCTGGCAATTCAGGTTTTTCCATGACATCTCTCAGTGTGGGAATTCAGAAAGCTAATTCCAGTATAAAACAGAAGGTGGGATAATGCAAAGTACATAGAATTGAACATGTACCCACAGCATTAGCCTGAAGACCTCCATTTGGAGACTCTGAGTTGAGAGTTTCTGGGTTTACGAGTGTTACAGGTCAAACAAACAAGAAGCAGCTCTAAAATCCACTCGCAGAGCCCTTCCCTCCGCCACTGACACTCTAACTACACCAGGCAATACGACCTCCTTTAGGCCAGAGTACGGTGCACGGTGTACGAGGTCAGGTGTGTGCGGTGAGGTTTCTCCATCGTACCCCGGGCCACTTCCCCCCGTGTGTGCACCCCATCCACTTCCCCGCCCCCTCCTGTGGTCTGAGCACTTGCATGCAGGGCAGACAGGAACCGGACGCCACTGTTCCGTACGGTCTGCCATGATCCGGCCTTGGTGGGAAATTTCACTGGCTCCTCGTAGGCAGCACTTTGCACACACAACAGCCAGCACCCATGGACGCCCTTCCACAAGGTCCCACTCATCTCTGACAAGGCGGCACCCTCTCGGTCGTCTTCATTAATCCCTGCTGGCTCTGCACTTAGCAGGCGAGACCAGCCTCTGCAAACAGTCCCCTGGGGGGCGTTTCACTAAGCGTTTCCGGCCTCAGCTCAAAGAGATCCCTGCAGTGAGGGGGGCTGTGGCGGTGACACCGAGGCTCACTCCCAGGTCTGCCTGCTGGGCATCCTGGGACATGGGCAGGGGAGAAGGACCTCAGGGCCACCAAATTGAAGCCTTGGGGCCCAGAACTTGAACCTGTGCCCAGATACACAAATCATGCCACTTAGCAACTGGGTGACTGCCCACAGTTTCAGCCTCTAAGAAGGTGATAAAACCCTCGGTCTGCTGAGCCCATGGGGACAGGATGTGGACAAGCCCGATGCAGCAGTGCTATTCCAATGTAAAGGTGAATTTCCCCTCCCACAGCCGTGGTGTGGCCACTGGCGTCAGTGACAAGCTGCTGCACTCACCCAAACACTCCCTGCTTCTGAGAGCCAGGGATGAGACAGACAGGAATGGGAGGTGACAACGGCGGAGGCTGGACCACCTCCCAGGAGATCCACAGGACCTACAGGACTGGCTCTGTGACCACGCCACCTTTCTTGGCTGGAGGAGGCTGGGAAAATGAGCTCACTCAGGCAGAGGGGCCCAGTTGCTTATGGCCCCAGGGAGACTAGAAAGAATGTCTAGAAACAGGGATTGTCCTAAAAGGTGAAACTGGCCTACTGCCTCCCTGATTTAAACTGTTCAGGGTATGTGGCTGCGAAGAACAAAAAGTGGGCAAAATATGCAAAACAATAATTGGTCTGCCACTTTACATCAGACAATGACAGACAGCGGTAACCAAAAGATGAGCAATAGAGGTAGGCCCAGTGATAGCCCCAGCTTACTGCCTTGAGAAGTTTCCAGATAATAGGGGAACCCAGGTAGAAACGAGTGGACTCCTTGAGTGGTGGAGATGGAGCTAAGGATCCAGGACAGAACACTGGAGAGACAAGAGGAGGTGTGGAGAGATCAGGAGATCGCAGAGGGTACCCCGCAGTATGCAGCTGAGTATCAATCTGGCCTGTGTGTGAGGATACCACTTAGGGCCAAGGCAAGAACCACCCGAAAGGACTACAGAGAACAACGCCTGACACTCAGGCAGGGCTGGGAACAGTGTCTGTAGCCACCAGCCAGACTGGCAAAACCCTCAGGATTCATGGGACGCTGAGTCAAGTACTCAGGGAAACACTTAGGTCCAAACTGAGCACTGCTCTGGTTGCATCAAACAAACACTCAAAGCAAGACTCAAAAGGATCTATTGTTCTACTCAAAACTGCTTCCAAGTAGCTTAACTGCATCTCAGACAGAGCTCAAGAATATTGAGAGGAAAACAAAAACATCAAGCACCCAACAAGGTAATACACAGTATCTGGAACCAATAAAAAAGTATCAGGTATGCAAAGAAGCTGGAAACTATAAACATAATGAGAAGGCAAAGGAATCAAAAGTGACCTGGGCCAGATCCAGATGTTAGAATGAACAGATAGGGTTGCAGTAACAGTTACTATAACTGGATTCCATGGGTTCAGAAAGGTAAGCAGAGATAAAGAAGATATTTAAAAAGACATAGGTTTAACTTCCAGAGATAAAAACTGCAATGTGAAAAGAAAAACACACTGGATGAGACCAACAGCAGATTAGAGCATGTGGAAGGAAAGATGAATGAACTTGAAGACAGCAACGGAAACTAAAAGGAAACGCAATAAGAGAGAAGGAGAAAAAAAAAAACACACAACAGAACAGAGCATCAGTGAGCTGTGAGATAACTTTAAGTTGCCTAATATTTGTGCAACTAGACCCCTCAAAGGAGAGGAGAAAGGGGTGGGAGTGCAGACGAAATATTTGAAGAAATAATGGCTGGAAAATTTACAATATTTGATGAAAACTATAACCACACACACTTGGAAGCCTAACCTAAGGGATCGCAAGCACAAGCCACATAAAGAAAACAAAATCACGTTTCTCAAAACATGTAAAAGAGAGAAAAACCTTTGAAGTAGCCATAAAAAATAGATGCATAATATACAGTGAAGCAAAGATAATGACAACAGACTTCTCACTGGAGAGAATGTAAGTGAGAAGATAGCGGGACAACATCTTTAAAATATTGAAAGAAAAGAACTGTGAGTCTACCAACAGAAATAGCTTTCAGAAACAAAGGCAAAATAGACATTTTCAGACACACAAACTCTGAAAGAATTCATTACCAGCAGTCAAACTACAAGAAATGTTAGAAGAAGTCTTTCAGACAGAAGGATAACGACACCAGATGGGACTACAGATCCTCACAAGGAATGAAAAGCATTGGAAACAGAAACTACATAGGCAAATGTATAAGCTATTAAAATTTATTCAAACCCCTTAAAAAAGATAATGACTCTTTAAATGAAAATAATAAAGTAGTGTGGTGTTTATAATATATTCCACTCTTGAAAAATGTGAGGGCTAAGGGTGCTGACCCCATGAAATAAAAAGTCCATATATAATTTTATAGTTGGCCTTCCATAGCCACAGTTCCTCATCCACAGACTCAACCAACCAACCAAGAATCGTGTAATACTGTGGTACATACTTATTTAAAAAAATCCACTTATAAGAGGACCCAAGAAGTTCAAAGCTGTGATGTTCAAGAGTCAACTGTATACCCAAAACTAAAGTGTTTGACAATAATAGTACAAAGGTCCAGAGGGAGAGAAATGGAAGTATACTGTTATAAGGCAGTCTATGTGGAGTATGAAGACAGACTGTGATAAGCTAAAGATCTATCCCATAAATACTAAAGACAGCACTAAAATAACAACAAACAAAATTAGAGTTAGTAAAACAACAAAGGAAATTAAACAGAATCATACAGATATTCAATCACTCCAATGGATGCAGAAAAAGAGGGGAAAAGAACAAAAAGAACAGAAGAGACAAACAACAAGATGAAGAGATTTAACCTTAACTATATCTGTGATCTCAATAAACATAAGTGGTCTAAGTTCCCCCAATTAAAAGGCAGAGATTGTCAAATTGGATTAAAAAACAACTCTATGCTGCTTACAAAAAGTGCACTTCAATATAAAACACATTAAATAAAAAACACATTAAATTAAAAAATACATTAAAAGTAAATGGATGGAAAAAGATACACCTAGCTAACACTAATCAAATGCCAAAGTGGCTGTATTGATATCAAAGTAGATTTTAGAGCCAAGAATATCAACCAGAATAAAGAAGGTTATTTTGCAAAGATAAAGGAGTCATACATCAAGAGGACATAGCAATTCTAAGTGTTTAAACATTTAAAATAAGATGAGATAAGAGAGCTTACAATACACTAAATAAAAACTGATGCAAATGTAAGGAGAAATAAACAAATTCATGATCATAGTCAGAGATTTCAACACCCTCTCTTAACAACTGGTAGAATAAGGGACAGAAACAGGAGAAAACTTCCACAATCTTGGGCATAGATCTAGAGGAATATTTCTTAGATACACCACCCAAAGCACCATACCTAAGAGAATGAATTGATCTTGATACTTGGACCTCATCAGAAGTTCTCACTTCTGCTCTTTGAAAGATACTGCTAATAAAATGAAAACTCAAGCCACAGACTCAGAGAAAATATTTGCAAATCATGTATTGGATCAAGAACATGTATCTGAAAGATATAAAGAACTCTCAGAACTAAATAATAAGAAAATAAACAACCCATACAAAATAGGAGAAAGATTTGAATAGACACTTTACCAAAAAAGATATGTATTTGGCAAATAAATGCATGAAAAGATGCTCAACATCATTAGTCATGCGTGCATGCTAAGTCACTTCAGTACTGTCTGACTCTGCAACCAACCCTATGGACTGTAGCCTGCCAGGTTCCTCTGTCTATAGGATTCTCCAGGCAAGAATACTGGAGTGGGTTGCCATTCCCTTCTCCAGGGGATCTCACCAACCCAGAGAAGGAACCTGTGTCTTTATGTCCCCTACATTGGCAGGTGGGCTCTTTACCACTACCACCACCTGGGAAGCCACGTTAGTCATGAAAGTGAAAGTCACTCAGTCTGACCCTTTGCAGCCCCATGGACTGTATAGTCCATGGAATTCTCTAGGCCAGAATACTGGAGTTTGGTAGCCTTTCCCTTCATGCTGCTGCTGCTGCTAAGTCGCTTTAGTTGTGTCCGACTCTGTGCGACCCCATAGACGGCAGCCCACCAGGCTCCCCCGTCCCTAGGATTCTCCAGGCAAGAACACTGGAGTGGGTTGCCATTTCCTTCTCCAATGCATGAAAGTGAAAAGTGAAAGCAAATTAAAACCACAATGAGCACCACTCCTCAAGTATTAGAACAACTAAAGTAGAAGACTCACAGCACCAAGTGCTGATGACAATGTGATGTAACTGGACTCTCATAAACTGGTGGGGGAATGTAAGACGGTACCACCACTTTGGATAACATTTCAGCAGTCTCTTAAAAAGTTGTTATCTGCCTATGATATGACCTAGCCATTCCACTCTTAAGTATTTGTTCAGGAGAGATGAAAATATGTATGTCTACAGCCAGATTTTTACATGAATGGTCATGACCACATTATTTGTAATATTCCCAAGGAGGAACAGACTCAACTGCCTGTTAACAGGTATACAGATTAAAAAAGTGTGGTATATTCCCTACAATGAAATACTACTCCATTGTAATAAAAGGACATGAAGTATTAATATAGGCTACAACATGGAGGAATCTTAATTATGTTTAGTGAATGAAACCAGGCCAAAAAAAAAAAAAAGAGTACAAATTGTAGGATTCTGTTTAGATAAACATCTAGAAAATGCAAGTTGATAATTTGTGGTGGAACTCCCTGGTGGTCGAGCGGTAAAGAGTATGTCTACCAATGCAGGGGATGCAGGTTCAATACTTGGTGCAGGAAGATTTATCATGCCTCCAGGTAACTAAGCTTGTGTGCCACATCTGAGCCCACGCTCTGGAGTCCACTAGTTGCAACTATCAAAGCCCACATGCCCCAGAGCC